CTACTTCGTCCACTTCAAAAGCAGACTGTTTTTTTCCTCACATATTATATATAGCATGAGCTACTTCACATTGCAAACTTGAAAACAAAGAACTTTGCATTTAATTTTCCAACTTTAATACCTCCAGTATTTGTACCTTTTTGTACAGAACTTTATGAGACTGCAGGGAACGACTATATCTGGTGCTCTTTGTACTGCGTTTCTTGTCCCAGTAGTGTGTGACACACTCGAGAACTCAGCTTTGTGCCACAAAATGGAAATTAAATGCATAAAAACATATATTTCATCAAGGATTAAGAACTCATTTAAGTTTCAGGGTATTCTGAGTATATATTATGATCAAAGAGGAGCCTGGATCTCATTGTGAAGATAGGTTTCTTTTAATCATACACATTCTCTTAATTGGTGGTTGCGATGGGAAACTCACATTTTTCAGTTGAGCAAATAGTGCAAGCTTCTTGCTTTTTCTACCTCACAGATTAGGGACTAAGCAACATACCAACAGCACTTGTAGGAGCTAAATCAACTTGACATGACCTTTCATCTCCTCCCAAACAACCCCCATCCTTAGAGGCCCCAGCTGTGCACATACAAACAGCAGAAAGCCCCTGGAGTAACTGCTCTTGCTGTGCTAGTTATCCATTTCCTCTCACAGTACTCCTGACTTTTGAATCTACCTTTGATGGTGCTTTCAAACAATGTTCAAGCCACAGTCACCGCTCTTATCCCTTGGTGAGGGGCTGTGCCAGAACTGTTCTTTTCTCATCATGTTATTCTTTTTTTGTTTCAGTTTTTTTCCCAATTTATGCACCCGGCTTCCCACTAAGTTACACCAGAAATTAATTTGATTTCCTGTAACTTCAAGTTGCCCATTATTTAGGCAAGGCTAGAAGAATATTCAGTTTCTGAAGCATCTTCTACTGATTCTGCCTTTTCCCGACGCTTCTCGCCTGAGAATAATTTGCTGGATTAACAAAGGCAATACATTAATACATTATTCAAAGCAACAGTTCTCTGCTTAGTTGATTCAGAGACAGCCGTAATGTCTGCACCTTCAGAGCAATAGTTGCAGTTGTTAAGAAACATCACCCTGATTCACCTCTCATTTATAAAATTATGGGTTGTCAACTGGAGAAGGCAACCTCCAAACAGTCTAGAAACTGTTTCCCAAGCTAGCATGACACTGCTGGCAAAGGCCTGGCTCTGGTATTTATTTCTGCTGCTAGTACAGGGGATTGAGAATCATCTCACAGGTGTTGAGACTCAAACTGACCTCCCACCAGACCATGCAGAAAATTGTTTGCCTGACATCACCTCACCCTTTACACACAACCCTAAATCATGCAAGTCTTCACTTGGATAAATGCATGCACCTGGCTATAGGAGGCAGAGGCACAAG